CCCAGAGAGCTACAGGCCTAACAGCCTCCTTCCTAATATAAGTAAAGTATACGAGAAAACAATAAACGATGCCACTAACTCATTCTAGAATAGAAACAACATAATCCCGGAAACACAGTTCGGCTTCAAACACAAACACTCAACAATCCATGCAATTAGAAAACTAAGATCAGACATCTGCTGGGCAAGAAATGTAGAGGAATGCGTAGAAGCAATCTTTATAGATTTAGAAAAAGCTTTTGGTACTGTTTGGCTGGAGGGCCTAAACTCCTCTTTAAACTCCTAAACAAAGAGTTCCCAACCCACCTCATCAAAATGATCTGGGACATGGTACACGGGAAAAAATTCTATCTCACTGACGGACAAAGCTCCTCATCCAAACACTTTAAAATACTAAATAGACTACAACAGGGCACCGTAAATTCCCCCATCTTGTTTAACATATTCATCAGTGATCGACTACAATTATACGACCTAAATAACGGAGGCAACAAATGAGCCATAGCATTCGCAGACGACCTGCTAATATATATTAAACACAAAAAACTCTCCCAAATACAAACTGAACTACAAAACACGTTCAACAAAATTCAGAATTACTTCCACACCTGGAAACTAAAAATAAACATCAACAAATGCGAAACAAATTTATTCCGCCCATACATTTCAAATACATCAAACGCAAACTACGACACAAGAATATATGCAAAAAAATTCCATTTTTTCGACAATAAAAATCCACACATCATAATACCACACAAAGACACGGTCCGTTATTTAGGCGTATATCTAGACTTTAAGCTAAACTACAACCACCACATAAAAACACAAATACAAAAAGCGGAGGACCTCAAACAAGCAGTAAAAATCCTGTTTTATAAACTACTAATCCGACCAATTCTAACTTACGCATGCCCCATATGGTTTAATATGAGCGCCGGCATCATGGAAAAAATGAGAGTCTTCGAAAGAACATGCATCAGAGCCTGCCTAAATAAATACAGATCCCCAGAATCAAATTACAAAAAATATATTAGCAACTACAAAATATACGAAGAAGCAAAAATCACTCGCACAGACCTATTTATATTAAAACTAATCAGAAACCATTGGGCCAATTCTCGCAACATAAAATCAAACAGCCTCATTTACAGCCCGACATACCCAAACCCGCTATACCACGAGAAAACGAGACAAACAGGCGACATTCCACCCGAAACATTCATTTACCTAGGCAGTGAAGGATATACATATACAAAACCACCAAAACTGATATACCATATAAACAGAAAAGCATACGACAAAAAAATAGTATATGACAAAAACACAGCACCCAACAGCACAAACATGCGATTCAACCACAAATTATCACACCTCGACCTGAAAGACAAACACAGACGCAATACAAAAAAATATTGGTGGTTGTAATTTAAAAAGACAAATACCGGATTCTACTGTCACCGAGCCTGCACTGTGTACTTAGCATGAGAATAAATATAAGTATAATTATAAGCATACATATAAGGATAAAATAAACATAAGCTCGCCCTTACCCTTACCTCTACCTTTACCTTTATCGTTCCTTGCCTCACTCCCCCCCCTTTCTTCATCCCTAACCACTCGCTGCTATTCTCTTCTCTCTCTATCCACACACCGCAAACAAGCAAACTGTATAGTTTCAGTGCCTTTCCCATACAACTAAGAAAGAAAAAAAAACCCAATGTTATAAACAAATCATCTTAACGAAACACAATCAACGTAAGCAATAAGTGCAAAACTACTGTTTTAGTGATAAGATTACGCGTGCTCAACATCCAGAGCCTTTAATCTGTAATTACCATTCTTTTGTTACTGTTAATCTTTTGGACGTTTAGGTTTATTGTATCACCCTGTATATAATATTTATCTTGGCACAATAAACGCCCATTAAAAAAAAAAAGTGCACAGGATGTTTGTTTCGTAAGCGGGTAATCTGAGTTCGGATCTTTGTACATAAAATACATAAAATTTCACATTATTTAATTTTTATATTTTTACTTTTATGTTTTTTCAACCGCTTGAAGATAATAAAAATATAATCACTCATTCACCGTGAACTATTTGCGTCTATTTTCCACCAAATATAAAAAATAACAAATGTAATTATAATTTAATATTGTTTGTTAGATATGTACATTGCAAAAAATTTCTGTTTCTACTGTTTTTACAATTTGTATCATCTCGCTAGTTGTCATAATTAATACAATAAATATATGATTAATCTATGTATACTTATATATATTGTGTATTGTTTACACATATGTATATTGTGTAAATATTTATCGTAGGCAAAAATTATATATCAAGTTTATATGTACAAATACCATATCTTTTGTAAAAATATGTTTTATTTGAAGTTTTTTTGGAAGTGACGTGGTGCAAATGATTACTCGCCAAGTGGGTAACAAAAATATATTTATTTAAACGTAATGCTTAAACTAATTTCAAATGTACTACGTGATGCGCGTGTAGAGAATGTCTACGACAAAAGGCCTCGTGCCTTTTTCGGGGCTCCCTTAAGTAGCCCCTTTTCCCTGGGAAAGTCCCAGGAAGTAGGGGCGCGGGCCTGCATTGCCGAGGCAATACTCTTGTCCTTGAGGACGAAGAAACTCGGAAATGTTTGGAAAAACATCTCCCTAAGTGCGTGGCCCCCTCGTGGCGGTCGCCACATTTTAAAATTAATAATTTATATGAATAAATTGCAGATGTCATAAAATAAAATAATATTAGATTTTAGCAATTAAAATAAAAGTAAAAAATATTCTTCTACCATCAAGACTCGAAGAAACCCATACTATTCCCTTACGAAGCAAACGTTTTAGGCGCACACCTACTGTCAATTGCTAAACATAACTTCAACTTCCAAAGTTTTATAGAAGTAATTTCAATTGTTTATAAAAAATGCGCATTGAAATGAAATATTTTACAGAATGTCAGTTTTCGACTTCTAAATTCATCCGTTCAAATTTTATCAAAATCCCCGGGGGACAGGTATGTAGTCTCCTTGATAAGTGCTTTGCACATTAATATTTCTCAAATTTTTCATTTCGCTGAAAAGTTACAAAATGAAATTACAAAATAATTAAAAATAAAATGTAACACTGACGCACGGTGTTTCGACCAATGGGCAAAAATCAGAAATTCAAAGTGTAAAATCTAAACATTTTTTCATTTTAAGATGTTAATAACAAACCATAGTTTGTAATATTGCCTATAATTTTGACTGAATACGTCCATTTGTTGTTAAAATTAAGACGTTGTAACAACTAGCAACGAAGACGCCGAAAAATTCCATTTCGTGAGAGGAAGTGAGAGGGACGACTCTCTATCCTCGTCGTCAGCCGAATAATCGCGAAGCGATAGAAGCTTCTAGAAGAAACTAGCTTGCGATCCGCGGTAGACTCGCGGTTTTACGCGGAGTTCTCGCGGTCTCGGTTAAACGAAAGGAGAAATATATTCAGAATTAAAAGCCAAAAATTCAGGCGATCAAACAGTCGCTACATTATTCATTAATTCTATACGACGTGTCAGAATTGAAACACGTTTCCTCTGAGTCGAAGAATGAACAGAATATTAGCAGTTACAAAGACTATTTTATTTCCATAACCCATTTCCAATAGCTCCTTTCAAACTTTTTCTCTCCTTGTCGAGCAGAATACGATGTAAAAAAAAATTTAACATTAATTTTCATTATTATAAACAACTTTGCGGCAAGTTTTTTTTACAAGTGTCCACCGATCCAGAAGTGTAGATTCATCCCCTTGTTACCTACGCAGCCTTGCCGACACGGTGGCGCCGAGTCTTTAGTCTATCGCGTACCCTCTAGAAAGTCCTTGAGATAAGGCAAACGAACGCATTCCGTTCCCAGGAAAATCCCTATCACCAAAACTCACGATTTTTGGGGTATATAAGGGCCTGATTTTTGACGCTCTGGGGCTGTCTTTTACCAGAAAGTTACTATGCTAGTCGGAACATTAGTGTATTTTTCAAATATGTGCCATTCACAGACCATTTGTGTTTTTGATTTGATTTTTATAGGTTGTCTTTAGTACCTGAATACCTTTGAAGCTGACACAGAATTTTAATACAATAGTAATAAATTTTCCTAATTTTTTATGTAAAATTTTTATCAAATTTAACGAGACTTTTAAAAAAAGTACCGAGTAATACCTCTGTGATTTTTTGTATATTAATTTTGAACATATAAATCTTCATATTAATGTCAAATTTAACTGTTCAAATTTGCTCAAAATGAAGAAAATTGTCAAAATTATTATTGACGCGTTCAGTATTCTAGCTTCCTATCCTACTATTGTACGTGTCATTCAATTTTTTTATTACTTATATTGTTATTTAACTACCTACTGAAAATTACAAAACAAAAATAAAAGAGAAATTTTGAATGTATACAAAGTTATGATACATATTTGTCTCTGAAACCCCTGTGTGCGAAACGGCGGCTACGATTTTGCCGGTATTTTCGCGAAACTGATGAACAAATTTTTCAAACAAAAGTTAGTCAGTATTTAGTTGACAATAAATTGTGTTAATGAAAATTTACAAAAAAGTTTTTATTCGATAAAAAATAAAGATCGCTACAATTTTTTTAAATGAAACCATATATTTTTTTATGTGCCAATCAATGCATATTTGAATTCTCTTCAAAAAAGTATTAGAGAACTTAGGTCGAAAATTGATTGATTTAGAAGTTACGATTTTTGTTCCGAACTCCCAATACTCGAAACACTGCGTCTCACCGAGATTCAAAGGGAATCTCCTGATTCTTACTCATGCGCTCAGGTTGCTCGAGCGTCACGTGGTGACGTATATTATTGGCGGAAAGAGCCGAAGAGGCTTCGCACACGACAGAGCTACCGCTATACTTGCGTGAGAGCACGAGGACGGTATAGTGGGAGACGGCGGTAGGTCATAGTGGGGATAACTGCTTTTGCCCACGATTCACGATTGTCGTTTCGGTGTTCTCAAGTGCTCGTCTGCGGAGGAGCATAGGGTGTACAGGGATGTCACATAAGACAAGAGCTTAATTTTAATACACAGAAACATGAATTATCATGAAATATTACTTCATTTGACAACAATTAATCCCAATGAAAATGGTATAATATTTTTTATTATCGAAATGCTAAAATGTGAGCAAATTTTAACGGAATACAATTTTATTTGTAGAAGAGATTACAGATTTTGATAATAGGCTGCAACAAATTTTGCAAAAAATAGAACCGATGTTAACGGAAAATGCTAAAAAATTTGTGTTTAATAACATTGAAAATGAAAATGATATTAGGTGAATACAATTATTCTAGACGAGAACTATTATATTATTAATATTCTATAGCAATTAAGAATTTAGTATTAGAAAAAATTCAAAATTAAATAAATTTAATTGATGCAAATGTTACATTTTTAGGTATCAATATATATGTACCTTTATATGTGTATTACAAAATATGAAAATAGCTGTTTCTACAAATAACGACTCCCTCTTTAGTGTTAAGGAATTTCATACTTTAAAAGTTTGTATAGAATTTGTAATTGCAATGGGAGTTATACCTGGTCTTTTACCTGGTGTTGGAGTTAATACAGTTCAGTTATGTCCTAAACCTTTGCAAATGTACAAAAAAAATCTAACAGATTTACAAGTATGAATTACATTTCTCATAACTAATAATGATATATGAATTGGAAACAATTTAGAATACTTTTTTCATTGTAGAAATATAGAAGATTGCAGTTTACAGTTAATTCTCTTATGGAATTATATGATGAAATTATGTTTCGTTCTGCGATACTTGCACAAATAGGTCCATTGATAGCTGCTCTTTTACAATTATGTCATGCACCATTAATGAAACCATCCAAGAAATGTGTATCAACCAATGAAGAAATTACAGGGAAAAACAAATTTAAAATGACTCCAGATTTATATGATGAATTAATAAAAGATCAAGAGCACTTTAAATGTTTACTTCATCGAATGCTAACTAATTGTCCAAGGTCTATCAGTATGAAAGAATTGATGGTAATTCTTGGTATTAAGGGAGCACCAAAGTGGCTTCAATGTGAAACTCGCAAATATTTAGTACAGCAACTTATGCAATGTAACGGAGTTGTTTCGATCGTAGCTGCTATTTGTGATGATAACTTAGACTTTGGAGAAGATTGGAATAAATTAGATACAATTTCCAAATTAATAGCTACATCGCATGGGAATAATTCAGATGAATATTACAAATCTATATGCCTACAAGTACGAATTCGTAAATTAATTTCGTTATTAATGATTAACAATAGCTTTTTAAAATAATTGATAACTTTGGAGCAAATTGTATCTTTTGTTTTCAGTTACTGGATCTTCTAGTGTCAACACAAGTCAAACATTCAACAACAATAGCAAACTGCTGCATTACAGCACTTTATGAATATAACCCTAATGTTTGTCGTAAAAATATTGTAGAAAAAGTATGTGATCCATTACTTGTAAATTCAAAAAATGAACAAGAGATAATGAAAACTGAGGATGAAGTTGTAAAATGCATAGAAAATTTAATGAAATGTTTTATAACTGTGGAATCTAAATTTAAACAACTACCTTGCAGACTTTTAATGAACATAGCTGTTCCTTTGTTTAGTTTGTACAACAATGTTAGACAAAGTGCTTGTGTATTGAAATCTAAAATAAAACAGCTTATATTATTACTTTTACATGACGAATCATCTAGAAATGATCTTTTTGCTGCATTTCTTGGGTACACTTTCACTAATAATTTTGGTAATCGTTTGCTATCAAAATTTGGCCCAACGGGTGGAATTGAAATTGTAGGAATAGACAATGCTTGTAAATATGAAGAATTTGCAGACAGTTTGTTCGATTTAATATGCAATGATGAGATACTATCGATTGAATTATTCATATATTTATTAAAATTTCTATCAAGATCTATAGAAGAATTAGATCAGGAAAAAGAAGATAAACATTTATTAGAAACTGAGGATGGTAAAATGGAAAAGATTGAAGAACAATTAACAGCTGTGAAACTATTATCAAATTTAGCTAGCATGTCTACTGTGCAAGAAGCACAGATAGAAAAACCAAAACCAATAATTTCTTTCATAAAATCATTATTTAATCAGTACATTAAAGAAAGACACAGTTTATCGGAAGAAGATGATTGCGAGATTTTATACGTCAGTTTAATGTTGGTAAAAATGATTCTAAGCGAAAGAAAAAAACCCCTCGATTCGTCAGCATTTACTGATTTTGTAAAATTCTTGAAGGAATGTTGTACTTTTTCAAACATTTCACCTCAATTGTTATTATTAACAAAAGAGTTGATAGAATTGTTCAATAGTCAAGGTAGATCAGAGCAAAGATATTATCAGGATCTATCAGTTGATAGTAAACTATCGAATAAGTTTGAAGAAGCACTCAAGGATCTTACAGACCCATTATTACCTGTACGTGCACACGGGCTTATAACTATTACCAAATTGATTGAAAATATGGATCCGTGTATTACTACTAGCAAAGCGATTCTCTTACAACTGTTTGAAGTTGGTATAAAAAAGATCAATTTTTAATTTCAAATTTTACGATAGAATTTCTATATCGTGTATTTTGTATTACAGGAAAATTTAAAACATGAAGATTCATTTATATACTTGGCAGCCATTAACGGACTGTGTGCTTTGGCCAATTCATATCCACAGGTAGTTATAGAAACATTAGTACAGGAATATATTGATATGCCGCAGCGTCTTTCAACTGGAGAGATAACAGTAGAAACTAGGATTAAACTGGGAGAAATACTTGTAAAAGTGACGAGAGCTTTAGGTATGTGGTGTGTCTTTAAAGATTTGTTTCTTCTTTTTGTTCACAACTAATTTACATAATTCTATAGGTGAAATGACGACGGCTTATAAAAATATTTTAATAAACGGATTCTTGTGTGCTACACGAGATTCAGATTCTTTAGTGCGTGCTTCTAGTCTTTCTTGTTTAGGTGAACTGTGCAAAATATTAGGCTTTCGATTAGGAAATATCGTTATTGAGGTATGTTCCGTATATCCCGAAATTATTTCCGTTATTTTACACTCTTAACTAGAGTGTAATATGTGAGAGTAATTAAATTGAATATTTAACCATATTACTTTACCTGGATTCAATTAGAAAGGTTTACTTTAAAAATATTTTTAGGTAATTTATTGCATTAGCTGTATTGTCAGAACAGACAAAGCCCCCGAGTGTCGACGAGCTGCAGTAATGGTTAGCAGTTTACTACTTCGTGGACTTGGACAGGATACCTTAACTAGTCTCGGTAAAGATTTGGTCGATTTGTATCGTGGACTGAAATATTTACGGGACAATGATGACGATCCAGTGTTACGTTTACACGCGCAACTTGCTCTGGAAGAATTAGATCACATAGTGCGAAACTTTCTCTTTTCTTCTCCAAAACTTGAAAAAGGAATATTTTTATTAGGTTCGCCCTAATGAATACTTAACGAATATTCTGGAGAAAATGTTCAATAACATTTGCAACAATTTATTTTCTATAAAGGATATTTACATTCAAGATTTCTTTATCAGTGTACAACTTTAAATTGTTTGTCTTAATTAGAAATAAAAATCTTCCATCACTGCTTCAATTTTGTTTAACGTAAATTTCAGGAAAAGATATTACAATTATACGCGTGTATGACATATTTTATGCATATCTAAAGAGTTCGATGACACTGCTTTCATTATTCTATTTGACCTTTAACTTTTTCCCCCACGAGTAAATAAACATGTTTGTATACTTCTTGATTAATAGAAAAAATGAAGTAATCAATGGATTCACTTTTATTAAAAAGACTATAAAAATATTGTATCCTCTGAGAAGAATCCGGCCAAACGAATATAATCTCGCTTAAGACACGCGTACAGCCTTTGTGGTTGTGGCATAGAAGTCGGCGAAGGTCGTGGTGTTATAATACGCAAAATAAACTCTTTACAGGAAGGTTCAGGAAATGTTTTAAGTTTACCATCTCCGGTACCATTTATTTCAGAATTAAGAGAAGTTATCACGAGGGCAGCCTGTAACATAGAAAACATTATTAAACAAATGTGAAATGTTTCTCAAATAAAATTATTCAAAATTGGATGAATGTAACGTTTAGTACTTTTTGAGCGTCTCTAAACATAGTTGTTATTTGAGAAGCAATATTTCCTCTGGATCCACCTGGCACCTCTACCTCCTTTCCTCTCATTAACTGAATAAGGAATGAGGTAAACTCTTTAGAATCGTCGTTCCCATCTAGTTTGTGCTGTAAGGAATTCACTTGTGCAACAAGAGCTTCGACACCCTCTATATCTCGAATAATTTCCTAAAATAAATTTATTCCTTTGTATTTGTAATATTTGACCCTCCATCCCCACGCCACGCGTTATAATGTAAACCATTAGACTAATAGACTAATAAATGAATAACTTGAAGATACCTCATATAAGTGTAATTTCTGATGAATAGGTTTTGTAGCGTGTTGTAATTTATTAAGTATACTGAGTGCAACATCGGGTACATTCGGTAGAGCATCTTGCTTTTGCTGGCTCAAAGTGTAAAGCGCTGCATGAGTTAAAGTTGGTAAGAGAAGTCGGGCGATTTGACCTATACGCTTCCAGCCCAAAAAGTGCAAAGCCTTTTCAGCTTCCCTCGTGTCATCGAACAATCTTTTCTGTCGATGCGCAGGCACAGGTTGAGCTGAATTCCAGGTTGTAGACCATGGATTATTGGGAATTAGCATTCTTGCTGATAAATGTCCTGTACCAAATAGTACTAATTATTTTTGTACGTGTACATACGAATCTTTCTTAAAATTTCATCGTTTTCCAACTTGAACGTTGTTAAGAAATAAATGAAGAAATTAACACGAAACCTGTAGGTTGACCCCACTCATCCGTTTCATTGCTTTCGATCCAATCTCTTGGGGAATACCATCGAATGAAGTCTTCCAGCACTGCTCCAGGATTTGCTGCCTGCATTTATTAGCGATAAGTATTAATAATAAGTATGTACGAATGGAAGGTAAAAAAGGAAAAGCAAAATGAAGCAAGAAAAAGAAATGAAAAATACGAATCTAGATTTGAAATAAAAACTTATTAATTAGAAGCTATGTATAATATTGTCACCTTGAAAGATTCCATGTCAGATAAGAGCGAAGCACTCATCATCCTAGCTCGCATTTCTGAAGCATGTTTATCAGTTCCAAGCTGTATCATTACTTGCGCATCTTCTTCGAGCTGATCTTCCGTTTTTGGCACTGGATCCTGTGTTACTGGTAGATAAAGAGGATCTCTAGTTTGGATTAACCTGAATAAAATTAATTAATAATATTTACTTCATGCACAGGATAACATAATCAAATCGAAATGAGAACACAACGAATAAGTTTTGTGAAAGAAGAAGATGGATTGGTAGATTTTACTTGAGCGAAGGATGTTTGGCCAATCTTCCTGTAGGTTTGTTCCACAACAGATGTTTCGCTTTCAGATGTGTCCTTGTCGTTGAATCGTCCTCGTTTGTTGGTTCCTCGCTGGTGCACTCAAAAAACTCTTCTTCATCTGATTCTGCTAAAACTACAGAAACGTTAACATGCAAATTGTAAAATCTTACCATGCCAGATTTTTTTCACGGTTAATCAACGTCGTAAAGGTTTGCTTTTCCTTCTATTTAAGGATAAATATGTAGTTTTATCCTTTTATCTCTTATTGTACTTGTTTTCTTTTTTTTTTTTATTATATCGTATTTTCTTTGATTGAAAATTTTCAGTGAAACATTATTGGAACGTTCAACTTGCTCATAATGTCATCGCATAATAAATATACCTGTCTCGAACTCGTCAGTATCTATACTTTGAGATTTATGCGCTAATTCTTCCCTTGTCTTTTTCTTTTCGATGCAACAGTTTAACATCTAAAATAGTAACGTATAACAAATAAATAATCTTAAGGTGTCGAAGAAAGATAAGAAATAATAACATTATTAAAAAAAAAATAAAAATAAGGAAAACGAATTGTACCTGAAGCTTTTGATGCAATATACATGTTCGTACAGAATCCGGAAATCCAGGACTAATTCTGAAAAGACAAAATACAGATAATTATGTGGTCTGTCCTGTGGTCATGACATCGGGATTATAATATTGCGATGTTAAAAAGGCTATGTGAAAAAAGAAAAATATTCTAATAAAGAAATTTTGAACAGATTAAGAAAAAGTAGCGCTTAGTAATATGAAATGTAGTGAAGAAGTAAAACAAATTTCATTGTTTAATTAAGCGCCGCGGATGGTAGTAGAGCGCACGGAACACGTAAAGTGCGTTTAACGAGCAATCCAACAATCCCGCCGAAAATCGGGACAGTGGTTCGGTAGTTCACGGTCGAAGGAACGATCGAAGACTTGTTTTCCGAAAGCATGTGTGCTTTATTCTGCCCTACCTCGACTGTCACTGCTATGAGAGAGAGAGAGAGAGAGAGAGAGAGAGAGAGAGAGAGAGAGGGGGGGGGACTTTCTAGAGGGGATTGAACAGCGGCGAATTCTTGCAGTCTAGTCGAAGACCGTGATGCCAATGCTACTGAGACGATCTTAACGGTTTCCAGTACCGAATGTGTCGTTGTCCGAGGATCATACGCGTTTCTACCGAGCTTTCCTTCCGTACGAATTATTCGTTTACCAGATGATTTGCGTGGTGAACTTCACACTATACATACAGACACGATATATGTAGTTGGAAGTATAGAATTGGTGATTTGAAAGGTTGGCTATTCCCTTTTCTGGGAGGACGTAACACAACAGGTGGCACCGAGGCAGA